CATATATATATATATATATATATATATATATACACGCGCAGAAGGGCGCCAAGTGTGGAAGGAGACACGCGGTATGATATAAGGGAGCCGCGTGAAACAAAGAGAGAGGATGCATTGGAGGATGGGGGGGAAAGGACTCGCGCGCATGCGGCAATTCGCCCGTCAGGGGACGGGCAATTCATCCCTTCGTTTGCCTCCCCCCCCCCTTGCGAGTTTCTTCCTATACTTCTCCAATCCATGGCGGTAGGCTGCGTGGTTGCTGCATCTCTTGCTGTTATCAATATTTTCTCTCCAACTACTTTGGGTCTCTTGCATTATGTTTTTCCCCATACGAAATATACCATCACCACACACACACACAGCTGCATGTTATGTGCCCACTGGCGTGCATTTGAGTACGAACACAGTAACGGGTTGTGTCTACCCACATGCCAAGGCGTATGCATGTATATAAATATATGTATATGGGTAGAAGCGCAGGTGGCCTGCATCTCTCCCTTTGCATAACCCACCCCCCCAAACAACAAAATCACACTTCTACCTTTATTTACAGTTACACATTTTCTTACACACCAATTCCCCAACCGCCGCTACGAATCCCTTGCACAACAGGAATGCCTAGCTTCTTCTTTTCATTGCTCTTGTTGTTGTCGTCGTCGTCAGCCGCTTTTTTTTTTTATTTTCTTCTTCTCATTTTTCTTTTCTTCTTGGCATGCACGTGTGTGTCTGTGTATGTGTGCAACGCACGCCCATGTGTGTGGGTGTGCGGCGACAACACGTCTCCCGCACCGCTCGATCACCTCTCCCCCTGTTCTCTTGCCGCCGCCGCCGCCGCCGCCGCCCACACCGACGCAGACACACATTCAGTACGTGACGAGGTGCGAGAATCAAACAAGTAAACAAAAAAAAAAAATAGGGGAATTGAAATACAAACTACAGAAACAACACAACGAAAACAAAAACGAAACACAAACAAAGCAAAAGCAGAACACACAGACACACAGAGTGAGGGCCAAGGAGGAAGCACAGAACATGCCTGTTTTTCCCTCACACTGCCTCACGTTGTTTGTCTAAACATACACACAGACACACACACATTCAGTTCTTATTTTTGCCCGCCGCTTGCGTTCTCTGGGGCGTCACTCATGCTTTACTTAGCCTTCTTCTCCCCGTTCGCCATTTTCGACGACGACTTTGAGGCCGGCGCCATGTAATTGCGGTGGAAGAGCTGCGAAAAGAGAACGAGGTAGCTCACGTACATCATGAGTCCCATGCGAAGATTTGGGTCGTTCACGCCGCACGACTCACCCACAACACCCTTCACCACATACGTGTACACCACAATGAATGTGCCCACAGCCATCTGCAGGATCTGCAACATTGTGATGAGCGGGGCGATGGGGCGGATGATCTTGCGCAGCCCACACGCACACACAAAGTAGTAAAAGTACATGATGGAATGCACACAGTAATTCATCGTGGCAAACCACAGGCCGCTAGAAATGGTGTACGCATAGGCGTGCCAGCAGAAAAGCATCACTGTGAGGTGGTGGTACCAGTGTAGGAAGATCACCGGCTTCTTCTGGAAGACGAGGAAGGCTGTGTCCAGCATCTCCGGTATCTTCCCGAGGTTAATGAGGAGCATCCACATAGCAGCGGTGCCGTCCACAAACATTCCCTGATTCCAGTAGCAAAGCGAGTTGTAGAGGCTGCCAGGCACAACAGGCGCCGGCTCGCCCGGGCGCGGCGGCACAAGGCCGGGAATGGCCGGCGCTGTGCACCACTCGATCAAGCGCGGCACACAGTAATACGCGCCCGCTGCGGAGAAGACGGTGAGCAGCAGGTTCCACAATATGTTGTACCCGCGCAGGTTCATTGGCTGGCGGTGTGCCATGATGCTGTCCGGCACGTATAGCACGAGGGCGAGGTACAACGCCACCGCAACGGCGGGGACCTCAGTGTGCTGCTCCATCCACTCCAGAGCACGCTCGCCCTTGAAGTCCCGGCCCAGCTCCGTCAGGTAGTGGATCATCGGGCTGCCACACAGTAGAAACCTAAAACACAGTTAAGTGGATGAACAGGACGGGAGAAGAAGCAAAGACGTATGCCGGTGTGCTTGGGAGGCAAAGAGAGATTCACGCACTTTCCGCCTCAGCGCGGCATCATCATGCTCCTGGAGAGTCACCACCACCACCACCACCCAACCCCCACCTCCAAAGTCAGAGAGAGAGAGAGAGAGAGACGCTAGTCATTGATATTCACACAACACAAGCGGAACACATTCTTTTTTGTTTCTGCACATGAATAAGAGAAAAAATAAATTGAGTCAGACAGTGAGAGTGATGATGGTAAGCGGTCATGTGGTGAAGAGTGCCACAGCGCACGGTATGTATATCCGTCTTATCTTGAAGCGCTTCACTCATAATGTGGGCCCTCACTACTTCTTCTTCTTCGTTACATCTTCTCCCCTCCGCGTCGCCGCTGTCTTTTGGGCGCGTCCATGTAGAGCTGCTTGAACAGAACAACAAAGAGAATACAGTAGCTCCCGTACATGACAAGACCCATGCGCATGTTGGTGGTGTCTGTGTCGCAGCCACGGAAATAATCTTCCATTCGGAATGGGCCCTCGCCGCTGCCATCGGCGACTCCCATAGCGTGCATGCGGCTCAGCAACCACGATATGGCGTGGTAAAACCACGTGCTCGCCGCAGCTGGCCCAAGGTGATGCTGCAGCCAAATACACAGCGTGATTGCCATGCCGGTGAACATCTGAAGCACCTGCATGAGTGTGATGAGCGGCGCGATGGGGCGAATAAGCTTCCGCCAGCCAAGCACCACACCGCAGAAGTAAAGATACATCACCGCGTGGACAGCGTCGTTCATCCCGGCAAAGCACACACCCGATGGTATCACCACATACGAGGCATGCCAGCAGTAGAGCGTCGTGACAAGGTGATGGTACCAATGAAGGAAGCTCACTGGTTTCTTCTGCAGCACGAGGAAAACCGTGTCAGCAAGCTCCGGGACCTTGGCGTACATGAAGACTGCCATGAAGAATGCTCGTGGCCCGTTGAAGTCTTTGTGAAGGAGATTTTCTGAAGTGCTTCCCTCTTCTGCCACGGTTGTTGTTGTTGTTGCTGTGTCAACGCTCCCGGGCACCGCACACACCGTCTTGTGAAAGCCGCGCTCGGTCAGCATCTCCCACAGCATCGGCAGCAGGACAAGTGTCCCAGCGATAGAGATGAGCGACAGGACGAGATTCCACGCCGCGACAAGGTACTTGATGCGCAGCGGCTCTCGTTGCGCCATCCACGTCGGTAACCAAAAGATGCAGAGGAGATAAAGGAGTATGGCGTGCGCGGGATAGTCCGGGGCGCCATCGAGCAGACGTCGTGCGTCCTTCCCATAGAAGTCGCGCGGCACACGCACGACACTTTCCCATGCAGCGGCAACAGTATCTGGGACCACGGACCACATGCCGCCCGCTGTTGCTGCTTCTTGCCGATGTCTGAGAGAGAGAGAGAGAGAGAGAGAGAGAGAGAGAGACAGATGGGAACATGAACCACGACATTCGCGCGCATATGTGCACTTGCCTGCCGTACAACTGATGCTGGTAGTGGGATGGGGAGGGGGGGCAAAGCGCAGAATGAGACACATTCGTACATTACGTTATTCTTCTCTTATTTTTCACCGGCATTCTCTGAACTTTTTTTTCTGCCACGTCTTCTCACCCGGGCGTTACGCCTCCGCGCACGAGCAGCGTCCGCCGCCCACCCAGGAGGAGGCCAGGTGAGACAAAGGGAGATACGAGGGACGTAACAACAACTAAACAACAACCAAAAACAGAAAAAAAAAATCAATGGCATCAGAGAAGAGGCGAAAGATGCCAGAGGTGTTCATTAACTAAGTCACAGGGAGTTAATTCTATATCGTCTGCTTCTTCCCTTCGTTTTTTTTTCCCCCCTTTCCTTTTCCCTCACTTCCTCCCGTCTCTTTTTTTTTTATTCCTATTCTTTCGTTCATTCGTCGGGTGTGCGGAGTCCTTACTGTCACCTTCCTCCCGCTTCTTCGCGCGCTGCGGCCGTTGACGCCTTCGCTCCGCCTCTCCCTTGCAGCGCACACACCCCACATCCCTCTGTGGTGCCGCCGCCTCTGGCCGTTGCGCCAGGGGGGAGAGGCGGGGGCGCACAGCTGCAGAAGTGACGGGGATCACACACATACATATGCACACGGACACACGCGCAGTACAAAAACGGGCAAAAAAAAATGGGAAATACAAAAATAAAGATAAAAAAAAACAAACAAATCAGGACAAAAAAAATGAAGTCACACGATCAAAGATATTCTGCGGAGAAACAATAAAAGAGCAAGGTGGTGTTACTGCCCCTAACGGAAACACAGGCAGATTGCATGCGCACATCGCTCTTTCCCTTTCCTGGCCTTCTGAATGATTCACATATGGCTTCGGATTGGTGCACAGCAGAGAGAGAGAAGCACATTGCCAGCAGCTGGCTCGAGCGGCCACTTCACCACAGGCCTCTCTTTCAGCTTGGCCTGTTTGCCTCTTCACAGCTGCTTTAACGAAAACATCAGTAAAAGGAGGATAGATGCACCCCTGCACCTGAATATATACACACACACACATATATATATATATATATATATGCCAGATGCCGGAAATGCAAGCCTTCTATTTCCATTCAAAAGCGTTTTCTCTATTTTCACCAGTGCTTTTTATTGTTCACCTCGCTTTTCACCCGTGTTAATTTCGTCAACGGTCGATACCCATCGTGTTGCATGCATGTGCGTGTGTGTGTGTGTG